CAGAACACATCTAAATATAAATGACCATGACAATTTTATTTCTTTAGTACATTCATACATACATTACATTAAAACTCAATGCACTGAAGACAGAAAATAAAGAGACATTTAAAAAAATAAAATAAAAACTTGTCAGGTCTGAGGTCATGAGAGGACCCGAACGCAGAACTCTTCCAAATAAAGACAGTGAGTTTATTAACACTGAGAAATAATGAACAATAATGTAACAATCCCAGCACTGAGGCTCCCATGGTGGTCTTCCCAAAATCCCACACAGTGCTCGTGTCCATGGCAGGAATCTTGAAACAGCAACTCCCAGTCTGTACATGACAAACTCTGACCACATCTCCTAGTGAGAGAGTTGATCTGGCAGTCAAAAGCGCAAACACACAGTTTTCACAAGCAAATCCACGACTGTACTGATGAGTAAAGTCAGAGATCCAGCATCAACTGAAGCTCAGCCACACAGTTAAGTAGGGAGGCCGCTAGCAATGACAATCTGCAAGCGTTTTTCCTGCAGTATACAAAAATTGATGTATCTCAAAAATAAAACTATCAAGACATTCAAAATAAATTTCCTGTGGTTGGGAACTATTTTGTGCAACCTTTTTGCATTTACAATTTTGAGGGATATCCTTCTGAAATTTCTCTAACTAGAAATATGTGTAAAAAAAAACAAAAATGATTTTCAATTTTTTTGTAGTTTATTGCACTTTTTGGCAGTATATGTAGTTACAATGGACTTAATGCATACATATTATTAAAATTTGGGATATAACGGTTGTGTTGATGTATAGCAACTTGAAATACTCCCACAAATGGCACTACAGCATATAAAAATATAAAGATAAGCTCTGGCACACTTGGTTCTACAGTAGATCTTAAAGGGTTACGGTTGGAGGTTCCAGGTCATGTCTGATTTCATTAAGCAAATTTAGCATTAGATAGCTTGGTAATTTTAATCTTTTTCAATTGGCCACTCCAAAACACAAGATTGCTGATTATACCTGGTGTTTAGGGCAGCCAAAATGTTCCTTAAAAGCTCCTTAAAAGCTCCTTCCTTAAAGTAATGGGAACGAGACAAAGATTTTACATACGCATTGAAGCCCACAGAAGAATCAACTATTACACCAAGATTTTAAATGCTGGACTTGAAATCTAGAAATCACAGCTGTAACCAGGACCTCATGCTCATGTTTTTCCACCTGCTCTCTTGCTGCACTTTGGCTGTGCTTTAATTTAACACTGGTTGAACTTGTTAACTGACACTGTAACTACA